CCAAATCTCCTGCCTCGTGATCCCGGCCTGTCTTTGAGCCACCGTGCCTGGCCTAGACTCTTCTTGTAGGACTCCATCTGTAGCACTGCTCTTAGCTTATCTGCTCTCATTAAGGCTTTTTGTGGGAGGGGACAAAAAACAACAACACAAATACAGGTAGTCACTTGGGCATTTGCCTAACCCACTTCCAGAGTTTCTCAGTTGCTGGGGCGGCAGGCAATGCTTTAGTTGGGCTCCCACACTCTTCACTATCTTCTCCTGTGTTCCTTGCAGTAGCTCAGACTCCTTCCCTCAGTGCTCCCTCCCTCTCACCTCTAGGCCTTTGCATATGCTGCTTCTTCCTGAAACAGCCTCTATACCCTTGGCCTGGTGAATAACTTTTTGTCCTTCAGGATGCAGTTCTGCCGTGACCTCCTCCAGGAAGCCATCCTTGATTTCTCCCAGGTCAGGCGATGTGCTCCCTTAGCACAATGCCCTCCTCTTCTACCCAGGCAAGCCATAGCAGTGAGGCTGCCAATGGTGACAATGCACTAAGGAACAATGCACTGAGGCTGGGTGCAGTGGCTCATGTCTATAATCCCAGCACTTAGGGAGGCTGAGGTGGGAGGATCACCTGAGGTTGGGAGTTTGAGACCAGCCTGACCAACATGGAGAAACACCATCGCCACAAAAAATACAAAATTAGCTGGGTATGGTGGCACATGCCTGTAATCCCAGCTAAGCTACTCGGGAGGCTGAGGCAGGAGAATCACTTGAACCCGGGAGGCGAAGGTTGCAGTGAGCCGAGATCGAATCATTGCACTCTAGCCTGGGCAACAAGAGCCAAACTCCATCTCAAAAAAAGAAAAAAGAAACAATGCACTAGTTTCTGGGTGACTGGGGAAGGAGAAAGACAGAGTAAAGTCAAGTCTACTCTGGATGTATTAAAGCAGGAAGGTGACTCTTCTCTGCTCTGGGATCTGCCTCCAGAGAGTTACATTTGATCTGTTTAGGAGAGTGGATTGGCACATGGGCTCTGGAGCCAGACTCTCTGAGTCCAAATTCTGGCTCTGACACTAACCAGTGTGTGGCCATGAGCCTTGACCTCTTCCTCATCTGTAATAGGGGAATAGTAATAGAAACTACCTCATAGGGATATAGTGAGAATCACTTGTATTATGGGTTTCCTCTTAATATTGTTACTATTTTTAAAAAGCTTTTTTATTTTATTTTGTGTTTTAGAGACAGGGTCTCACTCTGTTGCCCAGGCTGGAGTGCAGTAACAAGATCATAACTTACCGTACCCTTGGACTTGAGGACTCAAGGTATCTTATTTTCTCAGCATCCTGAGCAGCTGGGACTACAACAGGTACCTGCCGCCATGGGTGGTTAATTCAAAAAAATCTTGTTGACGGGGCGCAGTGGCTCACACCTGTAATCTCAGCTCTTTGAGAGACCTAGGTGGGTGGATCACTTGAGATCGGGAGTTCGAGACCAGCCTGGCCAACATGGTGAAATCCCTTCTCTACTAAAAATACAAAAATTAGCTGGGTATGGCGGCCCATGCCTGTAGTCCCAGCTACTCAGGAGGCTGAGGCAGGAGAATCGCTTGAACCTGAGAGGCGGAAGTTGCAGTAAGTGGAGATGGCGCCACTGCACTCCAGCCTGGGTGACAATGCAAGGCTCTGCCTGTAAATAAATAAGTAAGTTTTGCTGTAGAGACAAGGCCTCACTACGTAGCCCAGTCTCCTACTCCTGGCCTCAAGCAATCATCCGGCCCGGCCTCCCAAAGTGCTGGGATTACAGGCGTGAGCCACTGAGTCCAGGCTATTATTACTATTTATTTCCTTCCTCCTCCCCGGAGCCCCATACTAGGACAAGGCTACATTAGGCACTCTCACTGCATGTCTAGATTCCCTTCTTAGCCCTTCCCGTGCCCTATACTTTTATATCCCCCGTGGGATTAATGAGGGCTGTCACTTCCTCTGTAGGCTGACTGTGGGCCATGCAAGTGGCGCCTGGCCTGTTTGCTGGCCACAGCATTCCTAGATCCAGTGCCTGGCACTTCAGAATTGCTCAACATGTTTTTTCTTTATGCCGAGAAATGCATCTCTGTTTTTTGTTTTTTTTTTAAACTTTTTTTTAGAGACAGAGTCTGTCTTTGTTGCCCAGGCTGGAGTACAGTGGCGCAATCACAGCTCACTGCAGCCTTGAACACCTGGGCTCAAGCAATCCTCCCCCCTCAACTTCCTGAGTAGCTGAGACTACAGCCTTGTGTCACCATGCCCAGCTGATTTTTTGTATTTTTTGTAGAGACAGGGTCTCGCTGTGTTATCCAGACTGGTCTCAAACTCCTAGACTCAAGTATCTGCTGCCTGGGCCTCCAAAAGTGTTGGAATTACAGGCATGAGCCACTGTGGCTGGCTGAGAAATGTACGTCAGTATTATGGAGCAAGAGGACAGAGTCATGGTGGTTCTGGGAACAAATACTAAGATTTTAAAATAAACCAGTTTTGAAATAGACGTCACAGAGGAGACAGGGAAGTGGCTCAACTCCTCCTCCCTATTGCAGGCGCCTGATATAAGAGCTTAGTAAAAGATGAACCTGGGTAGGTTGCAAGCTGCTGCCTTGGCTTCCTCCAAGCGCTGCAGGGTTTCTGGGACTAAAGGGAGCTCTGTGGATCTTTCTGGGAATGTTCTGGGTGCATGGGGTTGGATCAGCCTGTTTCAGTTCTCCACAGATGAAGACAACTTGCCAGGGCCTGGGCGACCCTCTGTGATCCAGCCCTGCCCATCTTGCAGTTACTGCATGCTTTTCTCCTGTCCTGTCATGCTCCAGCCTCAATGGTCTGTTCCCAACATGCCATGCTCACAGCCTTTGTACTTGCTGTTCCTTCTGCCTAGATGGCTTTTCCCTCAGCTCTTCACAAGTCTGATTCCTTATCATTTAGGTCCCAGCTCAACTGAGACCCTAGAGAGGCCTTCCCTGAAGTCCCCACCCTCAACTTTCCATCATTGCAGAAAGTTCTATTGGGTACCACTGCTCTTGACCACAGACATGCGTTACATTTTCCTACTTCTGTCCTTTGCTCATGTTATTTGCTTTGCCTGGAATGCTTTACCTGACATTAATAGAAAACCAACGCATGTAGAATTTGGCAATATGTTAAAAGTCTTAAAATTAGTTCAGCAATGCCACTTGTCAGAATGTATCCTTAAGGAAATAACTGTTGATATATGCAAAGATTTAGCTACAAGGATATTCAGCGCAACACTGTTTATAATAGCAAAAATAGAGGCTGTGTGCAGTGGCTCATGCCTGTAACCTCAACACATTGGGAGGCTGAGGGAGGTGGATTGCTTGAGCCCAGCAGTTTGAGAGCAGCCTGGGCAACACAGGGAGACTGGTCTCTGAAAAAAAAAAAGAAAAAAGAGGCCAGGTGCAGGCTCACGCCTGTAATCCCAGGACTCTGGGAGGCCGAGGTGGGGGGATCACGAGGTCAGGAGATAGAGACCATCCTGGCTAACACAGTGAAACCCCGTCTCTACTAAAAAAATACAAAATATTAGCCGCGCGTAGTGCCGGGCGCCTGTAGTCACAGCTACTTGGGAGGCTGAGGAAGGAGCATGGCGTGAACTTGGTAGGCAGAGCTTTCAGTGAGGTGAGATCCGGCCACTGCACTCCAGCCTGGGCGACAAAGCGAGACTCCGTCTCAAAAAAAAAAAAAGAAAGAAAGAAAGGAAAAAGAAATTGAGGCTGAATGCAGTGGCTCATGCCTGTAATCCCAGAACTTTGGGGGACCAAGGTGGAATGGTCAGTTGAGGCCAGGAGTTTGAGACCAGCCTGAGCAACATAGTGAGACCCTCATCTCTTAAAAAAAAGAAAAAAAAAATTTAGCTCAGTGTGGTGGTGCAAGCCTGCTGTCCCAGCCTCTCAGGCTGAGGTGGAAGGATCACTTGAGCTCAGGAAGTCAAGGCTGCAGTGAGCAGTGATTGTGCCACAGCACTTCAGTCTGGGTGAGAGAGCAAGACCCAGTCAAAAATAAATAAATAAAGTCCCCTGAAGTTATAAAGACCAGATCAAACAGTCTAGAAAAGGGCTTGACAGAGTGAGCACTCAACAAACATCAGCTGCTTTTATGCATAGGAGAGTAGAGGGGATTTTTGCCGAAACTTTGAGCAGCTGCTTCTAGGTAGAGAGATTAAAATGATTTCGTTTTCTTCTTTTGGTTTATCTCCCTTTCCCAAGTTTTATCTTATGAACATGTATTTCTTTTGAAATAAGGGAGAGAGACAAGAAGAGATATATTTTTTTTAATCTTCAAGGCTCAACTCAAGTGATGATCCTCCATGAAGCCTTTTCTCTGTGATTCTCGGGTCCTCCCCCGCCCCGGATCCCACCCAGCCTTGTAGGTGTCTGGTCATACTGTCCACTAGAGAGCAAAGCGTCTCTGGGGTCTGCACCAGCAGGTCTGATGAACGAACAGGGGAGGGAGGGAGCCTGTACCCCCACCACTTCCTCAGGGGAGCTTGCCTAAAGTTTGCTACTGAGCATCCGGACAGAAGCCACTGGCCAGCACTGACGTTCCACGATGAGCCCAGAGGATGTGACGATCATCTGCCCATTTTTTTTTTTACTCTCGGACCCCCCACCTCCGGAGTTTGGGGGTTCCTGTGTGTCAGTGGGAACCAGGAGGAGCTGAGCATGAGTGCTAGCTGCGTTTGCGAGATTTCAGGGGTTTTGAGCTAAGCCATCGGTGCTCTGCGTCGGCCCTCCTCCCTCCCCGGTCCTCGCCAGTTGTTCTTTTTCTTTGGGCGGTGGGTTGGGCAATTATGCTCTGCGGCGACCGCGACCGTAAGATCTGAGTGCCAAGGCGCCCCGCCCCTCCGTGCTAACCTAGTAAGAGTGTGGGCTTTTGCTTTTTCTTTCTTTCTTTCTTTTTTTTTTTTTATCCTGGGCGAGCCCACCTGTATTCTCTTGGCCAGGTGCTGGAGTGCAATCACAACATGTGAGAGTGAGAATCTTCCCAGCAGCCCGCTATGGACTGAAAATTGTCTGTTCTAACCCCCCAGTGTGGTGGTATTTGGAGGTAGGCCTTTGGACGGAGGTCATTACATTACATGCAGTCATAAAGGGTGGGGCCCTAATCAGATTAGGATGGTCCTCTTATATAAAGAAAAGAGAAGAGATGCCGCAGGAGAGCTTTCTCTTCACTCAATGCCACAGAAGAAAGGCCATGGTTGAAGACACATTTGAGAAGGCAGCCCAGTCTGCCAAGCTTAGGAAGAGAGCCCCTCACCAGAAACCAACGCCTGATGGCCACCATGATTCTTTCGGACTTCCAGGCCTTCCTGCCAAATACATTTCTCTTTGAAGCCATCCCAGCCCTGAGGTATTTTGTGTACAGCAGGCCGAAGGCTGACTCATACATGACGAGTGCCCCTTGAGAGACCTGTCTTGGGCCTCTTTACTTTCTGCCTTCCTTCTCTTTGTGTTTGAAGCTTCCTGGTGGTGGGTCATTTCTGGATCTTCCAACTGTAACACACAGGACTTGGCAAGGTATTAGCGCTCTCCCCCGGTTTTAAAAAAAAACAAAAAGGATTCTTCTTTAGATAACAGCACTAGTAAATCATTGGAGCCTTTTCTTGGCCAGGCACGATGGCCGTCATGCTTGTAACTCTTGCAACTTGGAGGCTGAGATGGCGTGGATCACTTGAGGTCAGGACGTTTGAGACCATCCTGCGCACATTAGTGAAATGCCGTCTTTGGTTACTAAAAAATACAAAAAACCGGGCAGACATGCAGGCTTCTGCTAATCCAGCTATTTCGGTGGACTGAGGCCATGAGGAATCACTTGAACCTGGGAGGTTGGGACGGTTGTAGTGAACCAAGATTTGGCTATCACCATACTCAAGTCTGGGCCAACAGAGCAAGACTGTTCTCAAAGAGAAAGAGGCCTTCTGTCACAGTGGCTCCATTGCTTTGTTCGCAGTGGCTCATGGCCTGTAATTTCCCAGGCACTTTAGAGAACGAGGCCAAGATGGAGTGGATCACTTGAGGTCAGCGTGTTCGAGACCAGCCGGCCACATGGTGAAAACTGGTTTTCTTACTAAACAATACAAAAATTAGCCAGGCGTGGTGCAGGGCACCAATGTAAGGTTCCCCAGAACTACTTGGGAGGCTGAAAGCAAGGGGATCCACTTGAACACCAGAGGAGGCAGAGGTTGCAGTTAGCATAAAGTCATGCCATGCATTCCGAGCTCTAGGCAACCAGAGCTAGACTCCATCAAGAAACAGAAGAAGAGAGAGAGGGTAGTGGAAGGCGAAGGGGAGGGAGGAAGGGAAGGAAGGAAGGAAGGAGGAGGAAGAAGGGAGGGAAGGAAAGAAGAAGGAAGGAGATCAGACATGAGAGAAAGAAAGAAAAGAAAAATTACGAAATGTCTCTCTGCTGAGTGTTTCAAAATAGAAAGTTGGCGCTGGAGCTTGGTGCATACCTGTAGTCTCCCAGCTTACTAGGAAGGCTGAAGACAGGGATTGCTTGAGCGCGCAGGAGTTGGAGGCTGCAAGTGGCTATGAAGCGCATCCAAAACCAAAAAACCATACACTAAAGTATGAGATAAAGGCCAAACAATGTGTGTTATTGATTACTTTTCCCCAGTGTATGCGATCATGTCAATACCTAATTCGGGGTGGAGACATTTTAGAAATAATATCTCAGCTGGATCTCTATCTTCAAAAAGAAACAAAAAATCCTCTTTTCTTTCCACCTGAATTTTCTTGCTGATCCCCTACCCATGGGAGTGGCAGTGGCACGATCTCGGGCTCCACTGCAAGCTCTTGACTCCTTGGGTTCACGCCATTCCTCTCTGCCTTCAGCCTCCAAAGTAGCTGGGAACTACAGGTTGCTGCACACTATGCCTGGGCTAAT